GCAACCGAAGGTTTGCAAGACAAGAGAAGACACGCAGAAGCAGCATGGAGTGAAAAGAGGAGCGAGCTGCTGATTACTTAGCGACTTAGCGGTTCTTGATTACGTGTAATAGTTAGGGAGCGGGACTTTAGTCTTAAACCGCCCGGGTAGATTAGTGTAGAACAGGAACAACAGAAGGAAAGGCACCGACACACGAGTGTGTCGAGTCCCATTTCCTTCTCTTGCCCTAATTCGATCAGCAGGTGCGTTTGCAGCCCTCACCGGTGGCCATCCACCACTGGTGACAGGGATGGAGATTGTATTTTGAAAATTAAACTCCTGGACACGCAATCCGAATCACACACACACACACACCTGTGTACTTTTTTTGTAGGCTCATGTAGAACCCATTGTTGACATTTTTGGTTTCATGCGCCAACAACAAGCGAGCCGAACGGCCTCCGACGCAAGGCCTGGGCCGCGAGAGCGCCGTGCGCCTGGCGCGCGCGGGCGCCAGGGTGGTGCTGACCACGCGGAGCGAGGCCAAGGGGGTCCAGGCGGTGGAGCAGGTGACGCTCGACGCACCCAGCGGACCCGGCGTTTCTAGAAAGAACTCGTAAGGCAGGTGGCCATGGGCGGGACCCCAGGGGGTGGCATAAGGTATGTACCTTTGTATGGTGGAAATGCATTCTAGAGATATGTGTTTCCGCTGCAGCTACGCATCGGCTGTTGAATGTAGTGTGCCCCGAGATGTCATCCATCCTTTGTGGAGTAATTAATCCCGAGTACCAGGAAAAACACTCCCCTATTAAGAAACACCATGTCAGAAACCACTAAATACGGTTTATATTTGTGTCTATATTACCGCCCTTTAAAACCGCTACCAAACTACCAACATGGTCGATTTTGGTGTGGTTATTTTTTAATTAGGTTCCCCAAAAACTCCCTCAAAATCGACCATGTTGTGTTGCTGATTCTCCACTGGCTGTCCCTCCACTGGCTTGCCTCTCTCATTTCAGCTGTGTGGCGGAAGACAGCTAACGGTCGCATCCCTCATTTTTCAGCAGTATGTGCAATTCTTTGCGTTTCATTGCGTCTCACAGCGAAGGACGCTCATATAGTAGACGTTATAATGGGCGGGCGTTTACGCCAGCCGTGTCCGTCGCTGCGGCTGCAGCTTCGGCGCGCTCTCCTTGATTGAGGCCCAGATAGCCCAGTGCTATCATGTGGTCCCAGAGACCACACGATAACACGGACTCATTGTTTGATGACCGGAGTAGTGGTGAATATAACCTGTCTATGGTGTTAGGGCCTGTTGGATCCTGCTTGCTTCTGATGGTCCAGGCCAAGGCCTCGCGACAAAAGTTGGTTGACCTGTGCTCGTTTCTTCGCCTCCAAAGGAGCGACGGACCACCAAAAAAAATGCGCGCACAAATTTGGTGAGACCAAAATGCGTAGCAACATTTGTTCTTACACATCCTCTCCAAAGCAGCAATGGAAAACAGTTTTACAGCCATAAAAGTTGGTCCAGATGGCTTGACCCGGGGGCAATATTGTTTTACATTTTGCGACACGGTTTTTTCACATGATTTTTTCGCCATGTGCAAAATGGACGTGGCTGGTAAAAGTCACTACCACCCCGTATCAATCTTTATTTCAGGAAGATTGGCCACCCACCTACGCCCTTAAAGGGTGGTGATATTGGAATCGGAATATGTATAGGCAGACGGGCCATAATCATCATTGCTGGTTGGTGACATTGGTCATTCGATATGGTTGGATGAAGATTGGGTTTGGTGGTGCGCTGGGGTAAAACCCAAGCACTTAGGAACGCACAACATCATAATTCTGAGAATTGTTTCGAGAAATGCAGAGGCACCCATGAATGACTATGGGCCTGGCCTAAGAATGGAAGGCATATGAGCGCTATGGACCGAAAATGCCCAGAAGACTCTTCGGGAAATCAGAGGATCTTCGGCGAAGTCCGACGGGTGGCCGTCGCCCAAGGAAGGCAGCCAGTGGCAGCAGTGATGTATACTTCCTGAAGCGCCCTCGACGCACTGTTTCGACACAGAAAACCGCGTGGCCACCTGGGGAACCGGCCAAAAGACCAAACACATGGAACACGGCTGAACATATCGAAAACCTGAGATCAGCTTCTCCAACAGGCTAGGATTTCCTTGACAGTTAAACGATTGGATATGAAATCAAACACCAGGGGCTCGCTCAACCATATTCATTGCCATATAAATGGAAACTCACGTTCGTTCTGTGCCAGTGTTTTTTTTGCGCCCGACGCATGGTGGACGACCGGGCCGAAGCATCCAACATGATCCCGGCGGTCTAGAGACCCCAAACAGTATGTGTGAGGTCTAGAGATCTAGCAAGCCTAGTGGTTAACCACTACCGGTCTAGAACTCCTAAGTGTGTCCACACAGTTTGGGGAAAAAAAGAGGAGTTGGATGAACCTTCGTATGTTTGAACAGACTTGGTCTCTATGTTTTTCGGAGACGACTCCAGGGCGACTCGAGTCGCCGCGACTCGAGGCTGGACTTAGCAGATTTGTCAGATGTGAAGTCTTTCAAACAGCGCTTCAGCGCACAGCCCTATGGCCACCTGGTGGTTAGTGGCTGTGAGGTGAGGTGATACAAAAGCTGGGAGGGTGGAGGGAGAAAGAGAGAGAGAGAGAGAGAGACGGGTCATGTAGATACTCCCGCAAGAAAGGCGAAGTGGATGGAATCACTCATTCAATCCACCACTGTTTTCGGGTAGTTTTAGATGTTTTGAGTCTTTAAGGTGGCCGAATGGGTCGCCGCCAAGCAGGGTCATGGTCAACATTCCTCCATTGCAAACCCATTGAACCGACTCTTCGAACAGGGGGAGCCTGGCTCGTCTGCCCCAGGCTCGTCCATGCGTCCCATTGTGGCAGGGGCCAGGGGTGGTGAATGGCCACCCCGAATCACCCCGAATCAGGGGCTACTTGACGGGGTTACGATTAGACACCGCAAGGCAAGGGGGGCTTGGCAGGGTAGATGCCCAAAAAAGGGTGCCTCCCATGGGAACAGGAAGGAACGGGCATCTCCCATGGCAGGGTCGACCTGAGACTCAGGAGACCACATCGATGTGTTGATGAACAACGCCGGTGTCATGGCCATCCCCCAGAGGCAAGAGACCAAGGCCTCCCGCATGGATGAGACAGATGCTTGAGACCTAACTAGATGAAGGGTCATGTCGGATCTGACATAATGAGTTATAATGATTTAGATATTTATATATATCAGCTATTATCAGCTACACTGCTGAAGGAGGAAATCATCAAGGAGATCGCACGAATTCTGGTGTATTTGGGAGCTAAAGGTGGTTCAGGATTTTTGTGCCCATCATAAATCCAGAGTCCTTCGATTTGTACAACCATGCTCGGCAAAACTTGCCCGGCACCTTTCTACACTACTATTTGGTTTACCGTTGAGCCTCACCAGGGTTCATTCGTACGAAGTACGAAGTCACTGAACCTTTGTTACATATTGATATTATTGATGCATGTTTACTCGATACCATAGTTTGCTTTTAGTCTGCACTACTCTTCAATCAACACGGGGTGGGCACTGTTGGCTACCTAGAACAGTTAGATACATTTAGATACTCTTTGTTTTTGCTACCGGGGACGTTCGACCCAACATTGGGCGAGTGGTACTCCACTTGCAGGCCATACGTCGAACAGGTTCGTTCCGGGCAGTCCTGGATGTCTATGCAGGACGGCTTCGAGGAGCAGTTAGGTGTGAACCATCTGGGCCACTTCGTTCCTTGGCGCGGGCCAGGGTGGCCGCGGGCGCTGGCGCGTTCGTGGCCTCAAATGAGAACATGGAAACCATGTGGATGCCATGTGGGGCCGCTCTCTGACGATTGGGGCCCCTAAAACTCGGATGTAAAACGTTTAGGATGACTGATTTGGATCCATCCTAAACGGTTTAGAGTATTGAGTCGGTGTTATACATGGTGGCATGGTTTCATGAGAAGCATGCGTGGGCTTAAACCCTGTGGCAACAGGTTTCATCAGGCCTGATTTGCTTTTGGGCCTGTCTCCAGAAGACCAAGCTCTCCAAATTCTCTGGGTCCTCCAACACTTTGGCGCACATCCGCCCAACAAAGTGAACATGTAACATGATTGTATCCTGCAGTGTCCCAACAATGAAGGGAAAGTGTGAACCCTAGTTTTGAAGGAACATTGACAGGTTTTGAACTTCTGGGCACTTTTCGCCATTGTCCAGCTGTTGCACTCGGCAAAGTTTGGAAGACTTTCTAAGGGTCCACCCTCCCAACAGTGAGACCGTTTGTGGCATTGCGCGATGACTCATCCCAGATGGTGAACCTACTTTGTTAGAGAAATGTGATCAAACAGCACCTGTACTGAGCTCCTCAGTTCCTGCGACGATGTGAGACCATCGTCGTCGCTGGTTTTGCTCAAGAAGACTTGAAAACGACCGTGCACTCGGGCTGTTTGCGTCAATGAGGATGAAGAAGTGCTTTTGCCACCTATAACCACATTGACCCCCAAGTCGCAGGTTGCAGTGTAGGCTCAGTTGGGCATCGTTGATCATGCGCCATCATCAGACTGATTGATGCAGACTCCGGTCCAAAGGTGGGCTTGATGTCCCACACGCTCCCCAGAACAATCATAGAAGGACCGATGGCATTGGCCTCCCACAGACTCGGATAGATCATCAAATCCATCCGAAGGACCCAGGTCACGGAGGAGGTGGTGCGGATCTCCACGTCGCCATGGATGGTTCCAGGGAGGGTGCTTTCTTTTAGACTGCCCCCCCAAAAAAAATATGGCCGCTCCCTTAAATAATTATTCCAGTGTCCGGGTAACCCCCAGGAATAATTTTCCAGGAATAATTCTAAAAAAACACTCCTGGAATAATTTATGTTGACCATGGAGAACCCAGACCAGGGGGTACCATGGAATAATAATCCTGACGAACCTTTGCCTACCGCAGAATAATTGTTTAAGGGAGCGCCTCCAGACTTCACAGATCGAATCAGCTGTTTTGGAAGTCGTTGTGTTCACAATGCAGAGCTGGCGAATGATTCGAGATTCTGGCTCAAACACGCCATATACCAATTTCTCACATTTTCACATTGGCCCCAGGCCCTATGAAGGCATCGCCAGACACAGACAGCCCACCTCCCTGCACACTTAGCCCACACTGGCCACCAGTAATGAAAAAATTATTCTGGGGTCCCCAACCCCTGTTGGACATCAGAACAAATT